AAGGTGATGTACAAGGACATGCACAAGACAGATGACTCAGAAAGTGAGTCAATATTTGTAGATGCAGATAATGTCCCGAGTAACCTCTCGGAAGAACCCAATGCAGAGGATCCTCAGCAAGAAGAGCCTGTTGGACAAGATGGTGCGGATGAGCCCGACGCACCAGCTCCGATATTAAGAAGATCTTCTCGTCCTCCTGTACCCAACAGGAGATACATGAACTATCTGTTGTTGACAGATGGTGGGGAGCCTGAAAGCTTTGATGAAGCTTGTCAGTGTGGAGATGCGAGCAAGTGGGAGCTTGCAATGAAAGATGAGATGAAGTCTCTCATATCAAACCAGACGTGGGAACTAGCTGAGTTGCCCACGGGTAAGAAGGCACTCCACAACAAATGGGTGTACCGGGTGAAAGAGGAGCAGGATGGTTCCAGAAGATATAAAGCCCGACTGGTTGTCAAAGGTTTCCAGCAGAAGGAAGGAATTGACTACACCGATATTTTCGCTCCCGTGGTGAAGCTAAATACTATCAGGACCGTGATGAGTATTGTAGCAATTGAAGATCTTCATCTCGAGCAGTTAGACGTGAAGACGGCGTTTCTTCACGGAGATCTAGAAGAGGAGATATACATGCACCAGCCAGAAGGTTTCTCAGAAGAAAAGAAGAAGAACCTGGTGTGCAGACTCAAGAAGAGCTTGTATGGCCTGAAACAAGCCCCAAGACAGTGGTACAAGAAGTTTGACGGCTTCATGCACAAGGAAGGTTTCCAGAAGTGCAACGCCGACCACTGTTGCTACTTCAAAAGATATCAGTCCAGTTGTATCATCCTACTGCTGTATGTTGATGATATGTTGGTTGCAGGAGCAGATATGAAAGATATCAAGAATTTGAAGCAGCAGCTGTCAAAGGAGTTTGACATGAAGGACTTGGGTCCAGCGAAGAAGATCCTTGGAATGCAAATCACGAGAGATAAGAAGAGAGGTCTCTTGCAGTTATCTCAGACGGAGTACATCAACCGTGTTTTGCAGAGATTCAACATGGGCGATGCCAAGCCTGTGAGCACACCCTTGGCCAGCCATTTTCGTTTATCGAAGGATCAGTCTCCTCAGTCAGAAGAAGAGAAAGAGAGTATGGCTCAGGTTCCTTACGCCTCAGCTATCGGAAGCTTGATGTACGCTATGGTCTGTACGAGACCAGATATTGGCCATGCAGTGGGAGTGGTCAGCCGGTTTATGTCGAATCCAGGAAAAGCTCATTGGGAAGCGGTCAAGTGGATTCTGAGATATCTACGAGGCACCACACAGAAGTGTTTGCACTTTGGTAAGAGAGAGGTAGAAGTGCAAGGGTACGTAGATGCAGACTTCGGCGGCGAAGTTGATCACCGAAGAAGCACCACCGGCTATGTATTCACCGTTGGAACTACAGTTGTTAGTTAGATGTCACAGGTACAGAAGATTGTTACCCTATCCACTACAGAAGCTGAGTACGTTGCAGTGACTGAAGCTAGTAAAGAGATGATATGGTTTCAGGGTTTGTTGACAGAGCTGGGATTCAAACAGGAGAAGAATGTTTTGCACAGTGATAGCCAGAGTGCAATACACTTGGCGAAGAATTCAGCATTTCATTCTAGAACGAAGCATATTGCGCTTCGGTACCACTTCATCAGATCCCTGTTGGAAGATGACGTGTTAAAACTGGAAAAGATTCCAGGAAGTAAGAATCCAGCAGACATGCTAACAAAGACGGTGACCGTTCATAAACTAGAGTTGTGCGCAACTTCAGTTGGCCTTCATGCATAAAATGATGAGGGCGGAGCCACACAAGAGAGGAGCTTGATGAGATAGCCTGTTGACGGCGGTTTGATCTCCAAGTGGGAGATTGTTAGAATGGGGGTGTAGATCAAACCTCATTTGCGATGAGGAGCGCCGGCGAGGAGCTCCGACGAGCTCGATGTCAACGCAGGCGAAGCCACAGGCGAGGTCCAGGCGATCTTCGGCAGCACAGGCGAGCTTGAGCTCTGCGTTCGAACCCCCCCGGCGTTGAGCGGCTCGACCCCCGCGTTTGAAACTCCGACGCTCGCGTCACGGCATCCCACCCTCGCGTCCGAGCAACCGCTGGAGACAGGCTGTCGCCAGCCTGTCAATTCCGCCTATAAAAGCCCCTCCCCCGTCGACCTAGGGTTTTTGCTTTTTCCCCCCTTCCTCCGATTCGTCTCTGGCGGCGATTTTTTCCCTTTCGTTCTTCGTTTCCTTTTTCTCCAGCGCTCAGAGTTAGGATTTTGAGGGGAGATTAAAAGGGGATTTAAGAAGAGAGAGAGAGGGGGGATTAAAGAGAGAGAGAGAGATCATTAAAGAAGGGGTGCTTTATGTTGTGGGGTATTTATTTATTCTCAAGTGAGAATTGAAAGGGTTCATACCCTTTAATTATTAACACTGTAGCTACAGTGTTCATTTGAGAAATCTCATTTTTGATCTGCTCTTATAATTGTAATTTCTTGTTTGATTAATAAGAAATTATCTGTGTGGCTCCCGAGGACGTAGGCAGTTGTCGAACCTCGTAAATCTTGTGTACTTTTCTCTATACTGCGTTTCTGTTGCATTAGGGATTTCAGCGTTAAATTCCCAACAGTAATACCATTTAGTTACATGTCAATTTGAGAACTGCGTTAGATTGTGGGTGGGCAATTGTAGCCGCCGACATCAGTAGCAGCCCTGAACCCTGTCATTGAGAAGAGGGATGAACCCGGCGATTTATCTGCACAACAAATTGTCGACTGCTGCGGCCTAACCCCTCCTGTCTGATGCACGCAGCGAGTTGCGTGGGAGGCCTATGCGTACATAATTGAAAATGGATGCCTAGCAAACTCCTCCAACTATCCATTTACCGGACATGTAAGGCGTTGCAATACCACCACGGAATAAGACATCATCGCGACCATCACAGCTGGTTACTATCAAGTCTATCAGCACCGCGTTTGTGGAACAACATCCGATGACTGCGATGATCAACATAGGTTCGAGGGATTTACAATCTTACAAGTCCGGTGTCTACCATGGACCCTGTGACGATAATAACAGCCCCCGGACTGTTGTTATTGTTGGCTTTTGCATGGAGGTCGAACCTTGTATCGCGAAGAGCTCACGGGGAACTTCTTAGGGTGAAGATGGATGCATCAGGATCAGCACGAGGGTTACTACTCCAACAGGATTCGATGTGGGAGTGTGTGCTGTCAATATGCAAGCATCTATTCCACAGGTAGGATCTCATGAATCCTACTAGTTTGTCTGCATAATTAAGGAGATCAGATGTATAGTACTCTGTACTGCTCATCTTATTCTGTTCTAAATAAAGTAACTCTGGTATGTATATCTAATTCAAGGATCGATATCCTCCTAAAATGGGTATCTGTGTGAGAGGCGATTTTTCAAACAAAATATAACATCACTAAAGAAGAAGGGAGAAAAAAAAGACAATAAAAAGGAAGTGCACGTGAAAGATTAAGAATAAACAGCTTAAAATTCAGAAAGAATACAACAAAGAAACTGAAATAATAACAGGCATTCCTAGTTCGATAATTAACATACATTATATGTTTATACATTCATTAGTTCAGCCTCAAATGACTATCTGCTTGTCTACGCGGCGAGCATTGGCTTCTGATGAGGGGGAAGTCATCTTCTTGAGGTTTTGCTGGTAGTAGACTTGTCTCAACCTCTCGATCTCCTTCTGCAGTGCCTCTTGATGAGCTACATTAAGACAATTTAAATCACGTTACTGTCAATTTCGCTGTGTTATAGAGAGACCGTCTATTCGCTTAGATGCATTGATCACACATTCCCTATGATTTTGATATTGATAACAAAGAGATAAATCTAGTTAGATAGTCGGGGTTTTGGTGCTGATAAAAAAAGTTACAGATGATGAATAATTAATTTTCTGCATTACGAGGGGTTTATCGGCAATTAGCGGCAAAGAAAGAAAACAACTTTCCCCAATACCAACGATAAATATTAAGATATCAGATTCTGCAATTTCATATAGTAATTGATTAACTAATAGCCCATAATTAATTAAGATAAAATTTAAGCATATGAAGTTTGTGTTAACATAATTATCTCAAAAAAAAATTATTAATATATCAAGACCTTACCATCTTTGAAGATCTTATCTTGTGCAAGCGCAGCAATTCTCTGCTTGAGATGGCTATTTCCTACAGTAAGAACTGAGCGCTGGTGATCCAAGAATGCTACTCTTGGAGACAATGCAGAGACCTCATTCTACAATTTTACGACCAAAAAAAATAAAAAATTACAAAAAAAAAACATCACTAATATTATGAAAAATCCTTTCAGTGAAAAGAATAGTAATCACCTGCAACGTTGTCACACTACGTTCGAGTTCGGAAACGTACTGCAGTTTCCTCACTCTGGATCTCTGTGCTGATTGCCTGTTAGCCAAGATCCTAATACAAACCCAAACCAGAAATTAAAATAAAAATAAATCAAAATTAAACTGAAATATTCGATAAAAATCTAAAAGGATTAATTGTCGATACATCCTCTGTACATAACCTTTTATTCCTCTAAATTGTTTCATTAACACTTGCATTCCTAATTGTGGTTATACTAGAGATGTATCTGCGACAGTATTAGTATAAGTTTGGAGTAATCTAATCACCTCTTGACCCTCTTGGGGTCTAAAAAGCTGGCCTCAGACTCATTCTGACTTTGATGTTCTACCTCCATTCTCTCCTCATTGACATTCCTTCGATCCGACGGTGACATCGGAGCATCGTCGGAAAACATGCACATAAACTGGTCATCGTCGAATTCCTCGCTGTCGTTGGGGCCAACGGGAGTCTCGAAGAAGGCGAAGGAGTCGCTCACCGACCTGCGGTGGGACCCACGATCAGGTTCGTCGGCCGAGGGGGGGGATTGGCCGAAGTTGGGCCAGTTGGGGGCCTTGGGTGGTAACTGGGCCATAATATGTTCACTAGAGTTGAGCTGCAATAGAATTGAACAAAATGCCCCTAGCAGTGAGATATAGCTTCTGCGTGTATCTTACAGCTAGAAACAGCTGTTTTTCTATTCAGGCAGTTAAGGGGAAGAATTGAAGCAGGAGAAGTAAAACTAATTGAAGACAGGATCAGTTGGCACGTGACAATGTGGATTGTGGGCTGAATGTGTTGCTGCAGTGCTCAGCTCTGGATATGATGATGGCTTCAACTAAGAAAGGTAGTTAAAAGAAAACAAATGTTAAAAGATTTTGGGGACTTAACTTTAAAATATGAAAGGTCTGGAGGACTCATGACGAAAAGCCCCTAGAGTTTTTAGTTTTAGATTTCAGGCAAGAAGAAAGGAGACTAAACTAATTGAGAGAAGCAATACACACACACACACTCTTTTATATATATATATATATATTGTTAAAGTAAAGACGAGAAGAAATCTTGGCGTAAATTTCCTTTTTTTGATATGAGGTGTGCCACATCTAAATATTTAGATCAAGTAGAGGAGTGTGAGCTTTGTCTCTCCCAAGCAATGTGGGACGTAAAACCACGTACAATACACTAATTATCAACAGCGCCCTTCAAACTCATGTTGATCAAACAAAGGAGTTTGCGTACAAGAACCCTGCGAACCGGACTGATACAGGTAGAGGCCTTTGGCTGAAGAAATCCTGCAACGCTCCTGTCAGCGGTATGAAACATGGCAGGAAGTAGAATTTGTCTTGCCTGATAACTGGACGGCAAAATGAGCGTCGATCTCAATATCGTTTGGTCCTTTCATGAATACGGTGCGATTATTAGCAATCTGGATGGCCACCTCTTTTATCACGATCTCTAGAGAGGAGTAGGAGTCGTAACAGAAATACCGAAACTCATGCAGAGGCGACCGGAAGATGAATATCTCTTTACTGTTGTGGACATTGCGACGATACTTCTGCTCAGTACTGCGAAAGAGCAATTAACATCTTGGTTTCTTACTTCGCCAGGAAATAAGGGAATCACACAAATATACAATAACCTTGTGGTAGACTTCTGCGTAGGTTGGATCACCAACCCGATCAGAATCAGAATGATGCACAAAGCTCTAACTTGATGTAGCACGCGAAACAAAAGTGAGCGATGCTGTACCCGAGTAACGAAGAATCCGGTAATCAAGACAGCATAGTGTTACAGAACGTGGGGCACTAACAATTGACTGACAATCCAAACAGCCATGCAGAGATATGCTGGTCGCAGAGATGCACAAATAGACCAACTGACCAACAAGATGTCGATATCGGGTAGGATCAGATAGAGGATGACCGTCAGTAGAGCAAGTTTGACATTCTGCTGGAGTGGAGTATCGACAGTTGTATATCAGTTAACTCAAGCTTTATTATAGAGATATCTGGAGAGATACTTCCTGTTGAGACAGTAACTACACCCGCGGGCCTTCGAGAAATTTCTAGACCAAGGACAATACGAAGAGATCCCAAGATCTTCATGTGGAACTGTTGTGTTGCAACTGCAGATTTGCGTAATGCATACCGTATCATATCATCACCTGTAATATCATACATCTACATAGGAGTGAGTAAGTAAAACCCTCCCACGCGATGTAGTGCGAACAAACAGAGAAGCATCTTGAAGTGACTTTCTATAAAGGCCGCTTGAGCACAACATCGCGAAAAACACTCAAACCAAGCGCGGGGTGCCTGTTTTGAGACCATAAACAGCACGAACGAAGGAGACATACATGTCCGGAGAGATATTTGACCCTGGACGGGCGGTTGACATATATTACGGTCTCTGCAATAAAAGAGCCATGAAGAAAAGCATTTTTGACATCCAGTCTGGGATTACAGGGCAACGAATGAGCGAGCCAGCGGACCGCAAGTGAGAGTCGCACAGTGGGATCTCGGACAACACGGAGCAAAAGTCTCCTCATAAATCAATACTTGTTGCTGAGTAAAACCTCTAGCCACCTAAACGAGCTTTTCGACGTCAATGTGCCATCAGTGACGAAACTTGACCTTATCAAACCCATTTACTGCCAACATAGAGACGATCCCAGTGGAGGACAGGAACAAGTATCCCAGGTGCATGAGTTTGCTGAAATGCTTGAAATTCACATCGCCATAGCTTGTCGCCACTCTCTGGAATTTGGAACTGCCTCTGGAAGGACTTTGGCTCGAACAATAGTATGGATGGCAGCAAGAAAGTTATGAAGATTAGTGTGAATTAAGACGAGTACAGAAGCATACCGGGCAGCATGACATGTGGGCGTTTTGCCTCGACGACAAGAGCAAGAGGAACCTCAGGCGGGGGGGGAGAGGCTGGCGCAGGCATGAAGATCAACAGTATTTTTTCTGGAGTGAGACTGTGCACAGGATATTGGATTAGATCGGGTGTAATGAGAAGAAGACTCAGGTGGAGGAAGAGGTCAACAGGAAGGAGAGCGAGAGATGTCAGGAGATCTTCGCCAAAGGAAATTGAGGTGAAGAAGTGGCGTGATGCAACGTGGAGGAAGCATGATCGTAGAGTTGGAGGAAATTAAAAGGTCATCGAAGTAGAATAATATTCGAGAATCCTCTTCAGAACTGACATGGACGAGATATATAACTCGACGAGCTTGCTGGATCATACAACGATAAACCTCCCGGATGTTCTGAACTAATTCCTAAATAAACACGAAGAACTGCTCTGGGGAGACATTTATCGCGTTCGTGACGATGGCAGAAAAAACAAAAACATCACAACCAAAACGCGATCGAAACTAATCATAACGGGCGACGGACAGTGGATAGACGTATAAACTTACGACTATCAAGGGAGTGAGCACCGGAAAGCAGAGCTAGAGTGGAGTGATATTAATGCATGAGTCGCGGTGAGAATAGCCTCAGCCAAAACGCACGAGGAACAGAGTAGAAATGAGCATCTGATCGGGCAGTATCGAGGATATGACGATGTTGCGGTTCGCCACACCATTTTGCTCTATGAGTGTAGGGGACATGACTGGTGAAAGATAGTCCCATGAGAGGACGATGATAGAGCGCATGGCCAGAGGATAGGTACTCTTTGCACAATCAGAACGAAACTTTAATACAGAATTGCCCAGTGAGTGAAAATCGATAGCAGTGAAGGCTGATAAGCAGTTAGTACGTCAGAGCGATTCTTAAGTAGGTAAAACCATGTAAAACGAGAGAGATTCGCTCGATAAAACTAAAACATAATGATAATGTAGCAGCTAAGAAGGCCCAAAGAGCTGGCCCGCCAAATATCAGAATGTACTAAATCAAATAGGAAGTGGAATACAAGATGATCATTTGAAATGGTTAAAGCAGTGAATTTTGCAATTTGCAACCATCACATGACTCAATACTAGAACTAGATGATACAGCGCCAAGACTCCAGAGCTGAATAAGACTCTCCAGCCTTTTATTACACACATGACCAAGTCGTCTATGCCATAAATTTGGCAGGAAGCGAGCGCGTTAGAGACGGTTTTGACGAACAAAGAGAACAACAAGAAGAACGTGGATCATAGTGGACTCTGGAAGGTGAAGAGTATTCCAGAAAATACGAGTGTTGTGCCTCCTACGACCCGCCAACCGTCCTTGCCCGTCTGTGGATCCTAGCCACGAATCAGCAAGTATCAGAGAGAAATGAGAGCAAACAGGCCCGCCATGCATAAAGAGCTGAATAGAAAATTAAATTCAAGCACAATTGTGGAGCCACATTAGAGCGGACCAAGGGTGTTAGACGACCGATGGATCATTTTGTGGCGTTAATAAGCCATACTGAATAATGGGACAATGGTGTCCAGCAGCTGTGTTAGAGTAGGAGGAAGAGAGGTGAAGTAAAGACAGAGGATAAAAGTGGGCATTACAAGTCATATAAAGGAACAACCAGAGTCAAAAATCCAGAGATCATTCATACCAGAGGACGAAGGATCTAGTGAGAACAGCAAAATGCATATACCAGAGGAGTTGTGCGGCGGATGTAGAGTGATATGTTGAAAAGCCATTCAAGTTGGACGCTGAAGAGCTTTTCAAATAGTTGAATAGTAGATCTGAATAGTTAGAGGTATAGCATGGCCAACAATCCTGTGTACGAGAAGGTTTTGAGACTGAGGGGCGCTCGCCGGACCTACGGTCCAGTACCTGATTGGAACGTAACTCAGGATGAAGCTTGAAGCATGTCTCAAGTGCGGTGTCCTTCCTCTTACAATATTTGCCCAGAGAGCTGTAGATCGGACCGTGGAGAGGGAGCCTTGGAGAAGATAATTCATAACGAAGCGAGCAGTTGACAGCGTACAGACAAAACAGCTCGCGAGTGAAGACGGTAGGAGTGCTCGTGACAAATTTGAGTCGTGCCTGTCTGCTGCCGGGCTCCATAGAGCGTGAGGCTCCATAACTGGAGGCCAAGTCGGAGAATTGAGGCTGCGTAGTAGTTGATCAGCCATAGTTGAAGTATTCAGGAACGGGACTAAAACCAATTGAGCCACCTTCATGCCGTTCGTACCAGGCTAGCCAGGTCTTTCATATGTTGAAATTACGTCCTGGAAGCATGCAGCTGTTAACTCTGTCCAAAAAGCTTGCATGTTGTGGCAAAATGGGGACTGCCAGAGATGAAGCTACCTTTCTGCGTTGTAGAGAAATGCGCGTGTGCCTAAACGATTTGCCCTCCCAGTGCACACCGAGCGACTCAGTTGAAAGTCTCAGTTGGACGACGTCCAGCATTGGCTTCCTGAGCAGAGGTACAGCTGAAGTCCAATCTCGACAGCGTGTGAGAACCAGAGCAGCACGCGGATCAGATAATCTCGATAACACGAATTTCCTGCCAATTGCCACTCTGAACTCTCCTTACATAGAGAGCACGGCAGTCTGAAGAGTCGACATCACCACTGCAAGGCGAATAGTACCTGGATGAAGCCCAACAAGTGCTGAGTATGGCGGTGAACTGGTCCCGTACTGGAATGATCAAGCAGACCAGCGCCACGCAAGGCATTGGCTGACAATGGTGGACCACCCTGCCCAAGTCACTTTGATCATTGAGGGCAAAGGTGGTTTGGAATCTTCTCTGAAGACCTCATAACAGCAATCCTTGAGACTGGTTAAAGATGTCGAGATGCTGTCGTACTAATGTCGTTCGTTTGAGGGAGAGACGGCTTGAAACGACGAGTGCCTTATTTGGAGACCGAGAGCATCGCGTCTTGAAACGACAATGCCCAGTTAAAATAAACCGATAGGTTAAATGAAACCCGAAGGTTTAAAGATAAACCCCGAAGGTTAGAAGTTGAAACCCGATGTTTTAAATAGACCGCAAGGTTAGAATGAAACCGAAGTTTTAA